AAACCCTAACTAACCTAACGTAGCCTAACGTAGCCTAACGTAACCTAACGTAACTTAACCTAACCTAACCTAACCTAACCTAACCTAACCTAACCTAAACATAACCTAGCCTAACCTAACCTAACCAAACCTAACCTAACGTAGCCTAAATTTAACGTAACCTAACCTAGCTAACCTAACAACCTAACCAAACCTAACCTAACCTAACATAGCCTAACCTAACCTAAATAACCTAACCTAACCTAACCTAGCCTAAACCTAACTTAACGAAACCTAACCTAGCCTAACCTATCCTAACCTAACCTAACCTAACCTAACCTAACCTAGCTTAACCTAACCTAACCTAACCTAACCTAACCTAACCTAGCTAAACCTAACGTAACCTAACCTAACGTAACGTAACGTAACCTAACCTAACCTAACCTAACCTAGCCTAACCTAACCTAACCTAGTCTAACCAACCTAACCTAACCTAACCTAACCTAAACCTAGCCTAACCTAACTAGCCTAACCTAAACCTAACCTAGCCTAACCTAACGTAACGTAACGTAACCTAACCTAACCTAACCTAACCTAACCTAACCTAACCTAACCCAACCTAACCTAACCTAACCTAACCTAACCTAACCTAACGTAACCTAACATAACCTAACCTAACCTAACCTACATAACATAATCTACCAAACCTAGCCTAACCTAACCTAACCTAACATAATTATCCTAACCTAACCTAACGTAACCTAACCTAGCCTAACCAAACCCTACTAACCAAACCCTAGCCTAATCTAACTTAACCTAACCTAACCTAGCCTAACTAACCTAAACCTAACCTAACCTAACCTAACCTAGCCTAACCTAACCTAACCTAACCTAAACTAACCTAACCTAACCTAACTTAGCCTAACGTAACCTAACGTAACGTAACGTAACCTAACCTAACCTAACCTAACCTAACCTAACCTAACCTAACCTAACCTAACCTAACAAAACCTATCTAAACTAACCTAGCCTAACCTAACCTAACCTACCTAACCAAACCCTAACCTAGCCTAACCTACCTAAACCTAACCTAACCTAACCTAATCTAAACCTAACCTAACCTAACCTAGCCTAGCCTAACCTAACCTAATAACGTAACCTAACATAACCTAATCTAACATAACCTAGCCTAACTAACCTAACCTAGCCTAACCTAACTAACCTAACCTAACCTAAGTAACCTAGCTAACTAACCTAACCTAACCTAGCCTAACCTAACCTACCCTAACCTAGCCTAACGTAACCTAACATAACCTAATCTAACCTAACCTAGCCTAACCTAACCTAACCTAACCTAGCCTAACCTAACCTAACGTAACCTAAACATAACCTAATCTAACCTAACCTAGCCTAATCTAACCTAACCTACTAGCCTAACCTAACCTAGCCAAACCCTAACCTAAAACCTACCTAACCTAACCTAGCCTACCTAACCTACCTAGCCTAACCTAACCTAGCCTAACTTAACCTAACCTAAACATAACCTAACCTAACTAGCCAAAACCTAAACCTAGCCTAACCTAACGTAACCTAACATAACCTAACCTAACCTAACCTAACCTACAACCTAACCTACCCTAACGTAACCTAACCTAACCCTAGCCAAACCTAACGTAACCTAAATACCTAACCTACTACCTAACCTAACCTAACCCAACCTAACCTAAACTAACCTAACCAAACCCTAACCTAACCTAACCTAACATACTAATCTAACCTAACCTAGCCTAACCTAACCAAAACCTAACCTAACAAAACCTAACCTAACCTAACCTAACCTACATAACCTAAACCTAACCTACCTAGCCTAACCTACCTACTAACCTAACCTAACTTAGCCTAACCTAACCTAACCTAACCTAACCTAACCTAGGCTAACCTAACCTAACCTAGCCTAACCTAACCTAACCTAACCTAACCTAGCCTAACCTAACCTAACTTAGCGAAGCCTAACCTAACCTAACCTAACCTAACCTAGCCTAACCTAACCTAACCTAACCTAGCCTAACGTAACCTAGCATAACTTAATCTACCCTAACCTAACCTAACCTTACCTTACTTAGCCTAATCTACCCTAACCTAACGTAACCTAACCTAAACTAACCTAACCTAACCTAATCTAACTTAGCCGAATCTAACTCAACCTAGCCTAACGTAACCTAACCTAGCCTAAGCTAACTTAGCCTAACCTAACCTAACCTAACCTAACTTAGCCTAACCTAACCTAACCTAACCTAACCTAACTTAGCCTAACCTAACCTAACCTAACCTAACCTAACCTAACCTAACATAACCTAATCTAACCTAACCTAGCCTAACCTAACCTAACTTAGCCTAACCTAACCTAACGGAACCTAACGTAAGCTAACATAACCTAATCAAACCTACCCTAACCTAACTTAACGTAACGTAACCTAACCTAACCTAGCCTAACGTAACCTAACGTAACCTAACGTAACCTAACGTAACCTAGCCTAACGTAACCTAACGTAACCTAACCTAACCTAACCTAACATAACCTAACCTAGCCTAACCTAACCTAACCTACCTTGACCTACCCTAACCTAACTTAACATAACTTAACAACCTAACACAACCTAATCTATGATAACCTAACCTAACCTAACATAACATAACTTTGCCTAAATTATTTTAACCTAATTTAAAATAAATAATTTGAGAAAAAATTTGGAATCGTTAATAAATTGACGTTGACATCCACTTAGCCAATAATGTAACCATTCCTGTAGCTTGTTCGGTTCTTCCTCTAGGATGGTACAATTCTTCCATAGTCTTATTCTAATTAATGATGCTTCAACACACTCTCTCTCTCTCTCTCTCTCTCTCTCTCTCTCTCTCTCTCTCTCTCTCTCTCTCTCTCTCTCTCTCTCTCTCTCGCTCTCTCTCTCTCTTACTAGCTTGATTTTCTAATTTGTTAATTATCTTATGAGGGATCGTATCAAACACCTTACTTTGGTTAATGGGGTTTTAAAATCTATCAACAACACGAGGGTCATTAACACTGCAAGTAACCTTTCCACCGCCAGACAAGAATACTTCAATCCTTAAAATAGGGATTAAAGTAAACTCACAGTATATATACACTGACAGAAATACACTTCTCAGGGTGTATATTCTGTGTAAATACCCTCTGGTAGTCTTAATACAGTATACATTTAAGGATGGTAGAAGTTCTTCTCTCAGAGCACTTGCTTCAGTTCAGGACAGAATCTGTATTTTCCAGTTAGTAGCTTGCACCTTGTTATTTGCCTCGTAACTTTGTAGGGAATGTGTGTGTGTGTGTGTGTGTGTTGTGTGTGTGTGTGTGTGTGTGTGTGTGTGTGTGTGTGTGTGTGTGTGTGTGTGTGTGTGTGTGTGTGTGTGTGTGTGTGCGTGTGTGTATGTGTGTGTGTGTGTGTGTGTGTGTGTGTGTGTGTGTGTGTGTGTGTGTATGTGTGTGTGTGTGTGTGCGTGTGTGTGTGTGTCATTTGAATAAAATCTCTCAAAGACTTAAGTCGTTGTAACGTACCGAACGGTTTGGCACTTCAGATTACTATATAAATAAATAAATAAATAAATTAAATAAATAAATAAATAATAATAATTAATAATAATAATAATAATAATAATAATAATAATAATAATAATATATAAAAAATGTAACCGGTAACAATGATCATTGTCGTTGATAAATTAGACACATGTGCAACTCTTGGGTATCTTTATTGAGGAAACGTTTCGCCACACAGTGGCTTCATCAGTCCATACAAAGGAGAAACTTGAAGAACAGGAGGAGAATGAGGTAATCGTCCCTCAACCTTGAGTCGATGTGTTCAGTCCATCAATCTTGATAGATTGATGGACTGAACACATCGACTCAAGGTTGAGGGACTGATTACCTCATTCTCCTCCTGTTCTTCAAGTTTCTCCTACGTATGGGCTGATGAAGCCGCTGTGTGGCGAAACGTTTCCTCAATAAAGATACCCAAGAGTTGCACATGTGTCTAATTTATCAACATGTCGGTTCTCTGAACCATTCATCTACAAATCATTGTCGTTATCCCAAAGATTATAGCACAATCGTTATCACTAATTACATTGTTCACTATGGTACAACCGTTGTTACATCTGCGCTTTAATTCCAGTACACAGTGATCCACTAGCATCACTGAACTGTGTACACATGATTAGCCAACAGATGTTCAATGAGAGGGATGCTTGTATCTTAATATTCCCTCCGTCATTTAACAAAACGAGGAATATTCCACCCAGTCAATCAAGTGAGGGATAGAAGCCCTGGTATTCCACTAGGCCAGGTGAGGGACTTCTTTCCCAGCTTAATCTGCAGTTAGTGAAGCCAGGGTCTAGAACGAACTGACTCACAGCTCTGCTTCATGTCCCAGCACTGGTGGTGGGCGACTTGCCCTTGCTGGGGACCTAGTCGAAAAAAAAAAGATTTAGGAGTGGAAAAAAAAGTCTCTTCAGAAGACAAATTTCGGCTTTTCCTTACAAAGATAAACTGTATCGTATTTGTTTATATTATGACAGTAAATATCGTGTTTATTTATATTATGAGTAAATACCATGTTTATTTGGCGCCCTCCGGGGTGGGCGTTGTCAGGGCGGGTTGACTGTAGGAACAGACCCTCTGGTGTGGCTTTAAATGAACGAAATTATGGTTTAACAGGATAGAACTTGCAGAGAAAGCAGTAAGTTGTTGCTAAGCTATAATGTTGTCAAGAGATGTGGCTAGCAGGGAAAACCTGACGATGCTGGTTTGTTGTCATGAGGTAACGTGTGAATACACACACACACACACATATATACACACACACACACACACACACACACACACACACACACACACACACACACACACACACACACACACACACACACACACACACACACACACACTTGTTAACCTTGATCATTTCTCGGGTATATAAGAGGAGCGAAGACCTACAGAGAGCGCAGTACGGTTCCCTACTCACACACCAACATCATGAGGACTCTGGTAACTATGCTGCCCTTGACTTGCTCACTATATACAAGTTTATCTATTCTGATATAGTGTTCGGCGCAACACTAGGCGAATACCTCCAAGCTGAAGCCCTAGCCACAATGAACTGTGGATTCCTTTTTTCTTCTTTCGAGAAAATAAATTAATATACATACGAATTGCAATTTAACTTTTTTAATGTATCTCATGTTTACGTGCATGAAGTTCATTTAGAATTTCAGCACTAGACTGAAATGTTTTGTTCTGTGTTATTGTTCTACATGGAATCATTTTGTTCACGATCTATACATTATATATCAAACATCGAACTTGTAGTACTCAGAAATGTATTTGCGTACATTAATTTGTGACTTCCGAGGGTGAGTTCCAGCTCTATAACCCTGCACGTGCATTTCGAATACCTAGTGCGTCCTATTCCCTGCCGTTGTAGCCTCGGTCATATTTATTGTTTTTAAATAATTTTATTAAGTTAGGCTTGCCTTATATCCATTCATAAATCATTTCTTTTGTTTACTTCCTTCACTTGTATCGTTCTGTTTCACCAATCTCAAAATAACTGTCTCCATTAAATTTTTCCTGTGTCCTCGAGTTTATTAATTGTAATCATATCTCTTCTGAGTTTTCCAGGCTTTTAGTTAAGCAAAATTTAGCTCTCTTCAGCTGTCTTCACATAGCAACGATCTTAGTTTAGTTTGAATGCTCGAAAAGTTGAAAAGTTTACGCTGGAGCTGCGTACTCAATTACAGGTCTTACGTATATCATGTAGATCCCCGAAGTCTATCTTCATATTTACTGACTCGACGTATGCCACCGATGATGTCCTCTCTATGTATACCTCAGGCAAAAGACAATGTGTGAGATATATTATATATATATATATATATATATATATATATATATATATATATATATATATATATAACATATATATTCTTTTCTCCTTCCGATTCAATATGGTTCCCTCACATTAAGGTTGTCATGTTAATTTGTCAACGAAAACTCACCTGGTAGGTCTTTGATATATGAGCCCAATGATGTGGGCATCGCATAAAAATAAGTCGCTGGGGTGAAGTGTTGTGGTCATTGGTGTCTGTATTGACAGACGTGATGGCAGGAGGTGGGTAACTATTAACCACTTGACGAGTAACTGCAGCAGCCACTACTGGTATACCCGTGCTGAACTCTGTCGTTTGTGGTCTTCAGTGCCTACTTTCCTATAGCTACTTTTCTTACAGTTTCCATCAACATAAACTTGAATTTACTTGGGCAGTTTCATGATGGGCCCTTTTCATAGCATTTTCTATTCCACGTGTTGGTGATAATGCTCTGTAGTAAAAATCATTTAAATTCAGTATTTGGGAAATTAAAGTTAATAAATTTGTTTTCACAAAGCCTTTTATGTAAAAAAAATCAGCTTTGTTCCTTGATATTTGATTAAGACATCGGTCTGGGGGTTTCTAGAAAAATTCCACATTATTTGACTAAACAAAATTAATGTTCTGAGTTATTTCATGAAACAGAGCTTATTCATGGATCCTGTTTCTTCATTTATAAGTAAATAAATGATTTTGAAAGGAGATTCACTAGCGTCAGAAATACCTGGATGATAGTCATTTTACATGCTAAAACACTAGTCAGAATACCTTTCACAGTTAAAATGTTTTCCTTTCTATTCTTCAGGTTGTTTTGGCAGTGTTGGGAGTGTGCTCGGCTTCACCAGCCATAGGAGACACTCCAGAAGTGGCGGCCGAGAAAGCTCGCTTCTTCCAAGCTTTCAGAGCTGCTGAGGCAGCCGCTAAGCCACACTATAGCTCCTATCCCCAACAAGCCTACAGCTCCTACCCCCAACAGGCCTACAACCCGTCCTACCACCACCACAACACCGGCCAATACCACCATGCCCCAGCTCAGCCTAAGTGGCATGGCCCCGTGGCTGCCACCATACCTGCCGGTGTTGATGGTACCATTACCCCAGTGTCTGACACCAGGGACGTTGCTGCTGCCCGCAGCTCTTTCTTCAACGCCTACCAAGCTCAGCTTGCTGCCACTGCAGGTGCTGTTCCCAGCCCTCACTACCAGAGAGCTCCTTCCTACAAATCAGCCCCTTCTTACACCCCTCACTATCAGCACCAACCCAAGTGGGTCGGCCCCGTGGCTGCCACCATCCCCGCTGGTCTTCCTGGCTCCACCAACCAGGTTGCTGACACCCCCGAAGTGGCCGCAGCTAAACAGTCCTTCTTCAGCACCTACCAGAGGCAGGCAGCAGCAGCGGCTCCTCCAACACGCTACTACTGAACCCTACTGCCATAATTAAGCAAAGTGCATAGTCAGAAAATTAAACATTTTATGTATATCTGTGTAAAGAAACAAGATTAAATTTAAAATGTATACAAATTCTTTTCTTATACGCTTACTTTCTAACATCTTTACGAAGTAAATGTACGTGGAAATGATAATATATTTTCTTTTCTATGCTTGTAGCTTTTTTGTGGACTTCCAAATACTCTGCTAATCTGTCTTTCCCATGTATTCCATTGACAAATTACTGTTTTATGTTTATGAGTTTTTAATACTTGGCAGTATACTTCACAAATACCGCTGGTCCTCGAAAACATTTCGACTCGGACATTGTCTCTCTACTTACCGCCCGTCACTCTTCACGCCCAGTAAACTCACCGAGTTCTGCCTTTGTACTAGTTTAATCTCATTCTCTTTGAGTCTCTATACGTAGAGTTTTCTATAACTTTATCCACCACACCAACTGATTTAATCCCTCTCCTCATTTATATTAATTACCATAGGCCTCAAACTGAAATTCACGTAGATATATGTTGAATTATTTTTTTGGTATTTGTACCGTACGGTATTTATGAAGGCGTCCGTCAATCGCAAGTAGAGGGATTTGGTCTGATTCTGGTTGTGGCTATTCTAGTAATAAATTTCGTAGACTCCTCTTAATTACCTACCCCTTCTCTACTCGGACAGTTACTATACCCAGTAGTTATAAAATCCGGTAGATACTAATGTTAGTAGACTGCCAGTGCCAGTACGTACTGACGACATTAGATACCAAAGCCAGTCGATAGCAAAGCCCGTACATGCCGATGCTAATAGATACCAAGTCGAGATGCAGTAAAGCCAGTAAATATCATTTCTTAGGGCTCCCAAAGCCAAAAGATAATGAACCAGTAAGAACCGAAAGTGGTACATGCCAGACCCTGTAGATATCAATCCCAGTAGATTCGAAACCCAACCTTTAGCTCCCAGTTCCTAATCACCCATTCTGATGCTAGTCAAACTCTCTTAACGATATTGAGTGTGAAACTGCCATGGTTCTCTTTCCTGTAGTTTCTATGTAGGAGAAATTTACTGTTGGGATCTAGCTCCTAGACCCTGCTCACCCATCCAGTTACTGTCTGTACAAAGATCCAGATCCTGACACTTTACTCACCTATCCAGTTTCTGTCTGCACACAGTTCTAGCTCTTGGACTCTGTTAACTCATCCATTTATTCTCTGTAATTGGATGGGTGAGCTCGTGGACTCTACTCACCCATCCAGTTACTGTCTGTCCTTTCGTATAAATACTGTCTCCCCTACCTTCGTGTGTTAATGTAACTAGTTAATGGTGCAAATCGGACCGAAACGTTGTCATAAGCTCATTTCTGCTATGTGTGGGTTATCCGTGTACATTTGCCATGTATGTATACCCGTTGCGTATACCCAATCCGCAAAGGCTAGACTTACACACAGCTTGGGTATGTCAGGGGGAGGCACAGACCTGACCCCGAGTCTTCAAAGCCTCGGGTGAACGCCCCACTAAAAGTCAAACGTTACTTCTTTTCAATCCCTCGTTCTTGTTAGGCTGTTCGTAGTGCTTTCAGGCGCCGTTGCAATGTGGAACCAAATTGCCAGCGCATTTTTTTTTGGATCATCCTAGGTAATTTACACTGTGTATAATAATTGTTCTTATGTGTACCTGTACCTAAATAAACATACTTGCTTACTTGCTTGCTTGCTTGCTTGCTTGCTTGCTTGCTAATTCCCAAGGAAGGATAATGTAGTTTCGTGCTCTCTTTCCCTTCGGTTGCTAGCTCACTCAGTTCACAAACTGAGGTCCTTGGTTCGATTCCCGGTAAAGGTGGAAAAAATTAGGAGGACGTGTTTCCTTGAAATACCTGCTGTTCTTGTTCACTTATCAGTAAAATAGGTACCTGGATGTTAGTCGACTGGTGCGGGTCGCATCCTGGGGACAAAATTGACCTAATTTGCAAGAAATGCTCTGCATAACCAGAGGCTTTCTATACAGTATGTCAGTGATGTCAGCTATGGTCTGTATAAGTTGTACATATACTTGTAGAAATAAAGATATTATTATTATTATTATTATTATTATTATTATTATTATTATTATTATTATTATTATTATTATTATTATTATTATTATTATTATTATTATTAACGAACCCACAGGACCCGTCTAGATGCATTCTATGCAGTGGTGAAGTACATTCTATGCAGTGGTGAAGTACATTCTATACAGTGGTGAAGTACATTCTATGCAGTGGTGAAGTACATTCTATGCAGTGGTGAAGTACATTCTATGCAGTGGTGAAGTACATTCTATGCAGTGGTGAAGTACATTCTATACAGTGGTGAAGTACATTCTATGCAGTGGTGAAGTACATTCTATGCAGTGGTGATGTACATCCCCCACTTTTAAATTGCAGAGAATGTTTGTATATTATGAAGTTCTCCAAGTAGGAAAGGTTTGATCCACGGAAAGGGAAGAGAACACTGCGTTTGACTCTTATGCTAACCTCTTATGGAATATTAATCTGCTGTCACTAATATTTTGTCACTGTCTGTTGTACCTGTATCTGTTGTCACTGTGTCTGTTGTCACCGTATCTCTCACTGTAGCTGTTGTTACTACGTCTGTTGTCACTGAGTCTGTTGTCACCGTATCTCTCACTGCAGCTGTTGTTACTAAGTCTGTTGTCACTGAGTCTGTTGTCACCGTATCTCTCACTGTAGCTGTTGTTACTACGTCTGTTGTCACTGCACCTGTTGTCACCGTATCTCTCACTGCAGCTGTTGTTGCTACGTCTGTTGTTACTGCGTCTGCTGTTACTGTGCTTGTTGTCTCTGTTGTCACCGTATCTCTCACTGCAGCTGTTGTTACTACGTCTGTTCTCACTGCACCTGTTGTCACCGTATCTCTCACTGCAGCTGTTGTTGCTACGTCTGTTGTTACTGCGTCTGCTGTTACTGTGCTTGTTGTCTCTGTTGTCACCGTATCTCTCACTGCAGCTGTTGTTACTACGTCTGTTCTCACTGCACCTGTTGTCACATTCCTCGCGAGCAATACAATAAACACGTGCACTATGAGGTACTGAAATCATCTTCATCAACTTTTCTTCCAATGTTTTCCTGCGCCATTCTGAAGTTTCAGCGACGGTGAGAGATGAGTGACGGGCTGTGCTAAACACTCCAGTAATCCCATAAGTGGAAATGCGAAGAAACTGCGACTGCTGCGTAGCAACATCAGGCGAAAGTCGACAGTGAGGAACCAGGTGATGATGGCTGAGGTAAGTGACGCTCTGGATTGACTAGGAGGTTTTGTGAAGAATTCGAGAAGTTACTGAAGTCAGTATCCGCAGTAGAACCTGGGAAATTACCCGTGAATGTATGAAATGGTTATATTAGTACCCATAAATTTTAAAGGGGGTGGAGGGATTAAGCCAGTGGAAGGCCTCGGTCAGATAATAAATAGCTCCAGCTGCGGGTCGTCATAAGACTAAGACCCGAGTCAGGATACACTTGTCCTGTTTCCTAACAAATCTTACCTAACCTAACGTATTGTCCATGAGTAGAGGAGCACATGACCAGAGAGGAATAATGACATCAACATAACAGTGCATGCAGTGATATTTATTTTAATAAGCTTTTGAGATATATTTTGGAAAGAGAGAACTGAGAGAGTCAAATAGAAACAAGAGGGAAAAAATGAAGATGATGTCAGGAAGTACTTCTTCGGTCTGATGGTGGCTTGGAAATGGAATGATCCGCAAAACAAAGTGTGAAGCACATTCGGAACGTACAATGTTTAGAATAGTCATTAAAACGCCCACTAGACGAGACTGAAGTGAGAGTGAAGGTGAGTAACCTAGAGGCGGGTCTATGAGCCTAGTCTCTAGTCCCACAACAATAACTAGGTGAGAGCAGCTAGGAAGGTAGGTGCAACTAACTGAATACACACACTAACACATACTTGTTAGCCTTGGTTTGTCTCCCGGGTATATAGGATGGGCCAGGACCCGGAGAGAGTGCAGTACGGTTCCCAACTCTCACACATCAACAACATGAGGACTCTGGTAACTATCCCGTCCCTTGTCGTCTCTCCTAATTTTCATTTTCAATATTATTATCATAATAAGAGAGAAGCGCTAAACCCACGTGGCTTTATACACCCAAGTGCAAACGAGAGGATTTATGCAGTCTACGAACGTGACTGTGATTATATTTATCTTCAAAACAAGTCTTTCTAAAAACTGAACACTTCACTTAATGATTTTTATCACAGTCAACATTTACGCTCGGTAAATGTTAACTAACTTTGGTAAATGTTTCCTCGTAACTTGTTACTGGGCAAAAAAAAGTGGATTTTGAATGCGTGATTATGCTTGTAAAATACGAAGAGAATAATTAATGTATTAAAAAGGAGCCATAGTCAAGATAGGAAAACTTTCTAAGATATATATATATATATATATATATATATATATATATATATATATATATATATATATATGTATATATATATATATATATATATATATATATATATATATATATATATATATATATATATATATATATTATATATATATATATATATATATATATATATATATATATATATATATATATATATATATATATATATATATATATATATGTATATATATATATATATATCTGCTTCTAAAGAAGTTAGGATGAGAGTTCCTGGATCTATTTAACAAGTTAAATGTTTGATCCTCAGCTCATACATAACCTGATCTCACTAGTATGTATATTGTTGGACTAAGTCATGGCTATATACATTTATTAATATTAAGGAGCATACATATGTATACTTAAGGGTGAGTGAATATTATTCATATTCATATGGAAGCGATAAGCTCGTAGGGGTCATAGAGCGCCTCGGGAATATCTGGAAAGCAGCTTTAATGCAAGGAAGGCGATGGCTCCAGTTACTTGGATGAAAAGTCCATCACTAGTATCAAAGTGACCATGGGGATTTTTTAGGCATCAATGAGCCACGGGATTCATTTAGTCAGTCAACTAGACGTCTTCTTATTTAAGGTGTCTTCTTAGTTTTCCAAGATATCGAGCCTAACTTATTGAGACTTTCGTCTTTATCTCATAAAATGGGTACGGAGTTCTAGGTGTTCTCGTAAATGCATTTTTTCATATATAAGTTAATATTAAATATTGATATTTAATGTGATATTGTTAGAGCTCTTCGAATATAAATTTTGGATTCTATACCATGGATTATTATATTTAAACCAACAGTTAATGAATTTTTGTATGTTATGTCTTTCTTTTTCAGGTTGTTTTGGCAGTGTTGGGAGTGTGCTCGGCTTCACCAGCCATAGGAGACACTCCAGAAGTAGCGGCCGAGAAAGCTCGCTTCTTCCAAGCTTTCAGAGCTGCTGAGGCAGCCGCTAAGCCACACTATAGCTCCTATCCCCAACAAGCCTACAGCTCCTACCCCCAACAGGCCCACAACCCGTCCTACCACCACCACAACACCGGCCAATACCACCATGCCCCAGCTCAGCCTAAGTGGCATGGCCCCGTGGCTGCCACCATACCTGCCGGTGTTGATGGTACCATTACCCCAGTGTCTGACACCAGGGACGTTGCTGCTGCCCGCAGCTCTTTCTTCAACGCCTACCAAGCTCAGCTTGCTGCCACTGCAGGTGCTGTCCCCAGCCCTCACTACCAGAGAGCTCCTTCCTACAATTCAGCCCCTTCTTACACCCCTCACTACCAGCACCAACCCAAGTGGGTCGGCCCCGTGGCTGCCACCATCCCCGCTGGTCTTCCTGGCTCCACCAACCAGGTTGCTGACACTCCCGAAGTGGCCGCAGCTAAACAGTCCTTCTTCAGCACCTACCAGAGGCAGGCAGCAGCAGCGGCTCCTCCAACACGCTACTACTGAACCCTACTGCCATAATAAGACAAATTACATAGAAAATTAAACATTTTATGCATATCTTTGTAAAGAAACAAGATTAAAATATATAAAATTATTCTTTTTTCGTAGGCCTAAATTGAAACACATTAATGGAGCAAAGGAAAGTTTGAATTATCATATAGTTACTTCTCTCTGCATGTTTGCTTAACATAAAATGCCCTGGAGCACTTCACAGAATGATCAGTTACCTCCAGAATAATGTGTCCATCCTTCCAACTGGCCTTCAGTACTTGCCTTACAAACCCACAACACTTACCTCATATTAAAACATGATGGCCTCTTCTGCACTGGCTACTCAACATTGTCATTTCTTGCTGTGATATTCATTACACGCTGCTAGTATCCTCACTTAGTGCTGCCTCTGCTGAGGCTATATTTTTCCAGCAACTTATAACCTCAGCACCTGTGTGATCTCAGAACCACTCTACAAATTTTATACCACTATTAAAATCATTTGTAGATTTCCTGTATAAAGCTTATCACATTATTTCGCTCGTAGTCTCCCCACTCCATTAGCTTTCTACATTATAGCTTTATACCATAACTATCCCTGGGTGGAATCTGCCTGCCATTCCCTGGGGCTGAATGGCCCCTGAGTGTAATAATAATAGAAAGAGATAAGAAATCCTAGGGAGCCAGACCACTGTGGTTTTAATTTTAAACTTGTTTTTGTCACATTGTGACCAGGAGATGTGGGTTCTCGTTATTGTTAATATCCCATATTACAACATTTATCGTTCGTTGTGACCAGGAGATGTGGTTTCTCGTTATTGTTAATATCCCATATTACAACATTTATCGTTCGTTGTGACCAGGAGATGTGGTTTCTCGTTATTGTTAATATCCCATATTACAACATTTATCGTTCGTTGTGACCAGGAGATGTGGTTTCTCGTTATTGTTAATATCCCATATTACAACATTTATCGTTCGTTGTGACCAGGAGATGTGGTTTCTCGTTATTGTTAATATCCCATATTACAGCATTTATCGTTCGTTTTGACAAATAACAGCTGGTGATACCAGAGTCGATCCCCATGACAAACATCTCCGCTTTCTCATCTGACAAACCCCAGCCTCATGGTAGAAGCCAATAGAGCAGGAGCCCGTATGCTCTAGCTCCTGGTACCGCTATCTCTGTCCTTCCTCTTCTTCAGCATACGTGCAGTTAGAGGACGCTTCTCCTCCCGAGGACTGAACGAGTCTGTATGAGGATCAAATATATGTATTGGTTCTCCGCTCAATGTAGTGGATTCTCTCACTCCTTCTTTTTACACAGATCAGTTTTTATAGGCCAAAAGCTGTTATTCTACCTCAACTTGTTTCAAAGCCCAGACCTATCTGAGGTATACTACCCCCTTAAGGGATTCGACCCACAAGTAGGTACCTTATACTTACTGCTATGTGAACAGGGACAGCAGGTGTAAGGTGACTAACACCCAGGTACCTACTAAGTTCTAGGTAAACAAAGACCAAAGGTGTAGAGAAACATTTCTAAGTTTTCCACCCGTGCTGGGAATCGAACCACGAACCCTCGGTATGTGAGCGGAGTTTGCTACCAACCAAGCCTTGATAACTGTTACCAACAAATAGTTTAAAAAATACCGACAAGTTGAGACAAACTAAGCGACTGACAACCTCAAAACTACGCCTTCAAGGATGCTCGACTGATTACATCGTCTTTTCATCTCTACCTCTGCTGTCTCTTCCGTATTTGACCGAGGAAGCCTACTGTATTGGCAAAACGTTTCAACAATAAAGTTACCCAACTGTTACAACAGATATGCCAAGAAACAAGTAATAATGTTGACTAGTGATGTTACATATCCGCCATCGTTGTTTGTTGTTCTTTCCCAGAAGACCTGTGCTGAGAGCAGCGCCAAACAGCCAATTATTATTGTTTTTGATTAAAGGACCCGAATGGAAACAAATCACTTTGTCTGACTTTTTTTGGGTTATCCTAGATTTTCTACACATATACTGCTATGTATGATAATCTGTGTAACTGTATTTGTGTATACTTGAATAAACTTACAGTGCTAAAGTCATGAGAGTCATACAGTAGCCAGGGTGACCGGTAATTACACTTTCCTGGATCAAGAGCCCTTCGTCAGCATCTTGGTGATCAAAAGGGTTTTTAAGAGGCTGGATATGGCACAAAAGCTGGAGTCCAGGCTTCAGGTAGACCTGGACAAGCTGCAGGAGTGGCCAAACAAGTGGTTACTGGAGTTCAATCCCAGCACCTACAGTCATGAAAATTGGAGATGGAGAGAGAAGCGACCAGAAACGGAATACAGCTTGAGAGCCGAAAATCTCCAAACATCTCTCTAGGAGAAACATCATAGAGTAAGAATCACACACAAAGCTGTAATACAGCTAAGTCAGCAGTAATGGTATGGAAATATAAACACATATGCAGTATAATGTGATCCTTTATTGACAACGTTTCGCCCACACAGTGGGCTTTTTCAAGTCACAAACAGATCTGTGACTTGAAAAAGCCCACTGTGTGGGCGAAACGTTGTCAACAAAAGATCACATTATACTGCATATGTGTTTATATTTCCATTGTGTCGGTATTTTATACCATTTATTTCCAGTAATGGTATGGCTGGTCACTAACACAAACCTAGGTGCACAAATAACCCGCACATAGGAGAGAAGCTTATGGCAACATTTCGGTCTGACTTGGACCATTTACAAAGTCGTCATCAATTTCCTTCTCCTATGTGCGGGTTATTTGTGTATTGTTCCAGTCACGGTATTGTGCCTCTTTGTTCTTCACAAAGCTAGGTGCCAGTAGTAATAGTATGGCTGACCACACACACAAACACACAAGAAATTCCGATAAACAGCACAAGTTGATTATTAACATTGATGTGAAACAAGATGGGAGAATTATGCTTCAGAAATATACAACTTGACACACTTGAGCAGCAAAACAGGAAGAGATCGTCGATGTCTTGATTAATTTTGCCAGTCTGCTGTAGTTTCTTTTAATATATAAAAGATATATACACGTGTGTTACCAGTCTGCTGTGGTTTATTCTAATAAAATAGGTATATATACATGTTTCAGTCATTTAATGAAGGACATAAATGAAACACTTTACTGCTACGTGCCTCTCTATTATGATTAGTAATTTTGGAAATTACCGAGTTACTGGCGGATTCTTGAGCACGTTACTGGTAAAAAAACAAAGTCGAACTCAGTGGTAGGTGGATTTGTGGGTCTCAGTGGTAGGTGTAGAGGTCTGGGGCTGCGGCTGCGGCTGCTGCTTGCTTGTCGTAGAGCTTGAAGAACTCATGCTTGGCGGCGGACACCTCGGGAGTGTCGGGGACCTGAGTGGGAGGACCGTGGTAGCCGGGGTTCTTGTAGGCGCCGGGAGGACCACCGTAGGATGCGGTGGGTACACCGTAAGCGCCAATGGATGCACCGAAAGACTGGGAGGAGACTCCGAGAGGCCCAGCGGGGACCCCGAGAGGCCCAGCGGGGACCCCGATAGACCCAGCGGGAACTCCATAAGATCCAGCGGAAACGCCGTAAGACCCAACGGGACCTCCGTAGGAACCGGAGCCTAATCCGTAGGCGCCGCCGGAGATGAAGGCGGGGGCAACAGAAGCTTTATAGACAGGGAGAGTTGAGGCGTAGCCGGGGGTGCCATAACGACGAGACTTGATAACATCCAGCTGGTCGTTGTAGGCCTTGAAGAAGGCATCTTTAGCAGCAGCGACTTCGTAGGTGTCTGAGACGGGGATGATCTTACCGTCCACACCAGCGGGGATGACGGAAGCCACGGGTCCCACATACTTGGGCTGAACGTCGTAGCCATAGCCAGGGTTGTAGGCCTGATAGCCGCCCGAACACACGCCTATCACTGCCAAAACAACCTAGAAGAGAAAAGAAGGGACTCTTTGTAATCTAAAGACACTGCAGTCTGAGATTTCACTTGTTCGTGGGCGTGACAACTTCGGTAAACAAGGAGTCATGTGGGTCGGATCTTCAGCTAGTCATGTGATGCTCCCGCCTGGCTAACCAGGTCTGATCCCACACAAAACAACATTGCTTTCACAAGCTAAAGACATTAATATATAAGACTTAAGAGGATTTCTTCATTTTCTCACCGCATACATCAAATATCCGATCTGCATCTCACAAATCTCCAGTAATCATTCCAAAGTAAAAGCTTAACTCGATTCTTACGCTATGATAATTGTCACGCAGACGGAGGATAAAGCCTCCACCACCCTCGCGTTGAATAATAAATAATTATCCTGTCTGTCGACCTGACGGGGAGATTTTGAGATTTAGACATGATAGGCGAGTTTATTGAGCTGTGCCGCCCATCCTGTGAACGAACACAACCACAAATACACCTTCCTACACAGACCAAACAGTTGTTGACACTTAATTTAGGACAATGATCCCTGCCTTGGCTGATCCAAGATGCTGGTATCCCTTATCTTTACAAACTATCCATATCTAATTATAATAAATCCTAAACATTTTTTTTATTAAAAGCTGCTACAAACTTTAGTTATAACATTCTCAAAATGTCCATCAATGTTAATGGTAGTGAATTTATATTCATGTCCTCAGATTCAATTTAAGATACAGTGTCTGAGGTGCGTCGTTATCCAGATCTCGAAACACTTCATTTTTTCCTCTCTTCGAGTTGCTACACTAGTTTGCCACATTAACAGTTAACGTCAACGAGTCAAATCGAAGGTTCTAACCCCACCCGTGGTATGGTTTATTTGCAATCGTGTCGTTACGATTTGATCAGTCATCGAATGGTTAGTTGATTAAATAACAAAAAAGGCACAATACCGTGACTGGAACGATACACAAATAACCCGCACATAAAAGAGAGAAGCTTACGACGACGTTTCGGTCCGACTTGGACCATTGACAAAGTCACTTTGTCAATGGTCCAAGTCGGACCGAAACGTCGTCGTAAGCTTCTCTCTTTTATGTGCTGGTTATTTGTGTATGGTTAGTTGATTTGGTTCAATACCCATTTGACTACACAAGAATCATCAAAGCCTCATTAGCTTGTTTAACAACGAAACAAGAATACTTTCAACCCTAATATATGGATTAAAGTTAAGTATTGTTCTCAGTGTATACATACACCATCGTATACTCATCACATGTATACTAAGCATACGACGATTAGATTTTCTATTTCTAACCATCTTACCGCAAAAAATACGTTTAATGTAAATCAGTTTTATTTCCTTACGTTTCTCTCCAATTGAAATTATTCTCGAGATTTTCAATTTACATTTTTTTTTTCTGCAAACTTCTATTTTTTTTTTTTTTTAAAAACTACATTAAGTTTTCTTGATGTTCTAGTAACTGACAGTTCATCAGCTTCCTCATTCACTGTGATGATAACTCGAGATGGTATCCACACTAATTCTGTAATATTCCAACATTTTTAAGTATCGTTTTGATAATACCGAGTTTGGATTGAATAGGGTTGACATCTAGTCAACCGAGTTGATCTTTGGTTTGTCTACAACCTCGGTGGTTGATTTAAGGGGTTGTCGATAATCAATTATAAATTCTTACAGCTTCTAAAGGATGGTTTCTAACTCACTAAGCCAGTCTTAAAACTAGCAAGCCAGTGCGTTAACCACTGTACCGTGACACATAAATCATCATGCCGTACCATATCGAACCTTACCGTGTCATTACGATTTCGCGTGTCATTGATAACGACTTTGAAGGAAAAAACACGGAACGGGTGACGTTTGAACCCATGGCTAGTGAATCCTAAAACTCACTTGACATGAGTTCAAACCTCACCCGTTCTGTGGTTTGTTGACAGTCGTGTTAAGGCTTCGTGAGTCTTGTTGGTGCGAGATTCGTCTGGAAAACACTCATTGTGCTGACATCGGTGGCCCATTGTAACCTTCCTGGTGTGTACAGAAATACATGAACAAAAAGGCACAATATCGTAGCTGGAACAATACACAAATAACCTGCAAATAGGAGAGAGGACCTTACGACGACGTTTCGGTCCGACTTGGACTATTTACAAAGATGTAAGCTCCTCTCTCTCCTATATGCGGGTAATTATTTGTGTATAGAAATACACTTAGATGAATTTTAATAGACCGGCATCATGCATTGGTTAGCGCACTGGCTTGCTAGCTTTTGGATTGGCTCGTTATGGGTTTCAGTCGCGAAAGAGGCAGAGATCGTCAATGTTTTGTTGAATTTTACCAGTCTATTCTAATATAAAAAGATATTATATATACAGTTTTACACGTGTTTCAGTTACTCATTTAATGAAGAGATCAGTGAAACACTTCACTGCTATGTGCCTCTCTCTTATGATAAGTAATTTTGGGAATTACAGTGTTAGTGGCGAATTCTTGATCCAGCAGCGCCTCTCAGTGATCCGTCGGTGTATATCTGGTTAAGACTTTTATCAGAATCAGTTGTGTACGAATGGTATATAATACCGACAAGATGAGATTAAGACACATGTGCAACATCTGGGTATCTTTATTGTAGACGTTTCGCCATCCAGTGGCTTTATCAATACAAATTCTAGGACAAAACTTGAAGACAGTAGAACTATGTACAGAAGATGAGGTAATCAGTCCCTCAACCTAGGAGAATCTCCATAGAATCTCCACGACTACGGTGCTCTTCGCACCTACTCCTAGGTTGAGGGACTGATTACCTCATCTTCTGTACATAGTTCTACTGTCTTCAAGTTATGTCCTAGAATTTGTATTGATAAAGCCACTGGATGGCGAAACGTCTACAATAAAGATACCCAGATGTTGCACATGTGTCTTAATCTCATCAGAATCAGTGTTGATAATATCTGAAAATTCCTTCCTCGTTACAGTCATCGATGTATACCTGGAGTATACCTGGAGAGGGTTTCGGGGGTCAGCGCCCCTGCGGCTCGGTCTGAAACCAGGCTACCCTGAGAAATGTAGTTAGGACAACATCTTTTGAAACTGCCGTAGCTCGTGAACCCTGGCTGGCACACATGACGATATCCTCATGACGCAACTGAGGCCTCCACGTTCAGGCTGACAGATTTCAATTTGATTTCTTACTCTCATTTCTAGATACTTAAAGAAATGAACCAAGGCAGTAACGTAGGAGGGTAAAAAATGGGATATATTTCCACTACTGGTTGTCACTACTCACCAGAGACCTCATGATGCGTGTGTGTGGTGGAGCCAGACTGTGATGGTTGATGCCCCTGGCTCTCTATATATATCCGGCTCACAACCCTCACCTCCGACCCTCTAATGATCAACTCCAGGTTTCGTGATACATTTACTTCAGCTTAAAAAAGCTTCTCATGTCATTATAAGCTCGTAAAGGCAGTGTTTGTTGTGTCGTTGCAGCTGAGGCGACAGTTTGTTGTGTATTTGCTCGCGTAAGACGTCCGAAACGTCCCCCCAAAAATACGTACACTTTTTATGTACAGTTGAAAAGGACGGAGAGTATTTCAGGGTACAACTAAGCACTTCATTAAAATAGAAAGATTTAGTTTATTTTTTTTTTTGGAGAGTAGGTGGGATGTATGAGAGGACTGAGGGGCGGGGCCAACCCACTTGTATGCAATCTATTTCTATAAGATAATTAACGCCTACGTGATTTCCTTTTTAATTTAGCCGTCACATGAAGAGAAGGAGGAGGGGAGGACCCAGCACACACACAACACACACAGCTACAACACATCACACAAACACAAAACACACACAACAACACATTAAAGCACTACATGCACAGAATGTACATGAAAGAGAGAGAAGAAGAGAGATCACTAAAGCTACATCACACGTAATTTAGTAAATGGTTGCCCATATATACTTGTATATTTATTCTTACATATTCGAGCTGCACTATTAACATCACACATTTAAGAGTCAATATTTTAATACTGACATATACTCTAAACATATACATAAGCTGTTTCAATGTATAATATATACATACAAACATTTACAATGTATAACATATATACATAAAGTGTTTCATTAATAAATTCTTTTTGCTATCGTTATTATTATTGTATAAATCCTTGTTATTTAAGCAAAATGCACAACACTTAGGACGCCAGTGGAAATAAGTCACAGTGGAAATAAGTCACAGTGGAAATAAGTCACAGTGGAAATAAGTCACAGTGGAAATAAGTCACAGTGGAAATAAGTCACAGTGGAAATAAGTCACAGTGGAAATAAGTCACAGTGGAAATAAGTCAAAGTAGAAATAAGTCACAGTGGAAATGTCACAGTGGAAATAAGTCACAGTGGAAATAAGTCACAGTGGAAATAAGTCACAGTGGAAATAAGTCACAGTGGAAATAAGGACTGAGCATCTCTCACAGCCAAGGGACTGATCACCTCAAATTACTCTTTTCTTTTATTACAAAGATGTAATTTACAGGATAAGAGCTGTTAACCTGCCTCAGCTCCAGCACTACCTGAGGTATACTGCCATCCCCCAGGATGCCACCCACTACGGTCGACTAACATCCAGGTACCTACTTACTGCTAGGTGAGCAAAGCTAGCAGGTGTAAGAAAACATGCCTGACGTGTTCCAGGTGTCACACATATGTCTTATCCATAACTTATCCATATATATATATATACATATATATATATATATATATATATATATATATATATATTATATATATATATATATATATATTATATATATATATATATATATATATATCATGTGGCTATTTCTGGCTATATAATTTCTATTCCATAACAGTGTGCTCGCTCTCACCTGGTTGCAGGTGTCGAATCTTAGCTCCTGGCCCCGCTTCTTAATTACCAGCACATTCTTATCCTTTCTTTCAAACTATCCTAATCCCAGGTTCCTGCTTGTCCCTGGTTCCTGCTTGTCCCTGGTTCCTGCTTGTCCCTGGTTTCTCCTTGTCCCTGGTTCGTACTTGTCCCTGGTTCCTGCTTGTCCGTGATTCCTGCCTGTCTTGGTACCTGCTTGTCCCTGATTCCTGTTTATCCCTGGTTCCTGCTTGTCCCTGGTTCTTGCTTGTCCCTGGTTCTTGCTTGTCCCAGGTTCCTGCTTGTCCCAGGTTCCTGCTTGTCCCTGATTCCTGTTTATCCCTGGTTCCTGCTGGACCCTGGTTCTTCCTTATCCCTGGTTCCTGCTTGTCCCTGATTCCTGATTGTCTCTGGTTCCTGCTTGTTCCAGGTTCCTGCTTGTCCCTAGTTCTTGCTTGTATCTGGTTCTTGCTTATCCCTGGTTCTTGCTTGTCTCTAGTTCCTGCTTATCCCTGGTTCCTGCTTGTCCCTGGTTCTTGCTTGTCCCTGGTTCTTGCTTGTCCCTGGCTCCTGCTTGTCCCTGGCTCTTGCTTGTCCCAGGTTCCTGCTTGTCCCTAGTTCTTCCTTGTCCCTGGCTCTTCCTTGTCCTTGGTTCTTGCTTGTCCCTGGTTCCTGCTTGTCCCTGGCTCCTGCTTGTCCCTGGTTCCTGCTTGTCCCTGGTTCCTGCTTGTCCCTGGCTCCTGCTTGTCCCTGGTTCCTGCTTGTCCCTGGTTCCTGCTTGTCCCTGGTTCCTGTTATTCAGTTGCATCAGCCGAGTTGCTAGTACATTACACGCCGCTGGCTTGTCCTGCGAGCAGCACCGCAAAAAAAAAAAGCCGGATTACAAACCACGGTACGGGTGAGGTCTGAATTCGCGAGAAGTGAGTCGTAGAACTCCAGGCCAGCGCGTAAGCCACTTGCTGCGAGTTCAAACCCCACCCGCACCGTGGTTTAGAAACTGGATTACAGATAACAATGGATCTTCATGAGACACACTGGCCATAGTTACATCACAAAAAATATAGTACAATCATTTTATATATTACAGTTTTTTCGTAAGGCTAATGTACACGGTATAATATATATATATATATATATATATATATATATATATATATATATATATTATATATTATATATATATATATATATATATATATATATATATATATATATATATATATATATTATTATTTTTATATAATGTGTGTGTGTGTGTATTTTATTAGTCTTACACAACGAAAGTCAGCATACCCCTGAGTATCTTGCACGTCGTGATCATGTGCCACCACGAGGTCTTCCAGCTTTTTAAGGCCGTCAGTTTCCACTTTAGTATTTCCCAAATGGGGTCGTTACATGCGTTTCACCCCCCACCAACCTCCTACCCACTCCCCCTCGGGGGCACCTCTTCCCCCTCTGGGCTTGTTATGTACCCCCTTCCCCCTCCTGGGTACCACCTCTCACGCTGGGGTCGTTAGATGACACGAAATACAGGTGATTCTTACAGCGACAGAAAGCTGTATCCTGTTACCACAAGGTCACATCTATACCTTAGTCGTATATACATCTCTCTTTCTCTGAGCTAGGCACGAGGTGCCACCTGGCGTGAGGTGCCACCTGGCGTGGGGTGCCACCTGCCGTTGGTCTCCTCTAGCTGGTCAGGTGGGAGTGACCAAGGGGGTGGTGTGTACTATCATCCGCTCGGGCATCTCTGAACGTACGTGTCGTCATAGCATCAACAGAAGCAAATTGGCGGATGGAATAAATGTGCGAACTACCTCTTCCTGGAGGCGGAAGACGGACCTCTTGATTATTTTCGTCCTGTGTGTATTTTTTTTTTTTTTTTTTTGTCTCCACCGGTACAAGACACGTTTCCTGCGCTTGACTACCATTTACGGTAATTTGGAGGTGACGTCACGTCAATAGCGCCTCTTGAGGTCAAATACATTGCGTCATAATGACGGGGTTTGACACGTCTAACTTAATGATGCCCTAATATTTTTCTGTCTTTCCTTAACGACACAATATTTTCGGGGCGTCGAGTTGTGGTCTGTGGAACAATATGTACGTGGGAATTATTTTTTCTGGTCACTCTGATTTCTGGAAAGTGATCAGTACCTGATGTGTTGTATTCTCAAGGTCGCTGTTACACACGCTGATTGGTGGAGTCTTGGGGAACTCACACGCTGAATGGTGGAGTCTTGGGAAACTCACACGCTGATTGGTGTAGTCTTGGGGAACTCACACGCTGAATGGTGGAGTCTTGGGGAACTCACACGCTGGTTGGTAGTCTTGGGGAACTCACACTCTGATTGGTGGTGTCTTGGAGAACTCACACGCTGATTGGTGGAATCTTTGGATGTTCACACGCTGATTGGTGGAGTCTTGGGGAGCTCACACGCTGATTGGTGGAGTCTTGGGGAACTCACACGCTGATTGGTGGAGTCTTGGGGAACTCACACTCTGATTGGTGGAGTCTTGGGGAACTCACACTCTGATTGGTGGAGTCTTGGGGAACTCACACGCTGATTGGTGGAATCTTTGGGCGCTCACACATTCAGGATGTTGGACTCTTGAAGTACTCACACGCAGGATGTTGGACTCTTGAAGTACTCACACGCAGGATGTTGGACTCTTGAAGTACTCACACGCAGGATGTTGGACTCTTGAAGTACTCACACGCAGTATGTTGGACTCTTGAAGTACTCACACGCAGGATGATTGGAGTCTTGAAGTACTCACACGCAGGATGTTGGACTCTTGAAGTACTCACACGCAGGATGTTGAACTCTTGAAGTACTCACACGCAGGATGTTGGACTCTTGAAGTACTCACACGCAGGATGTTGGACTCTTGAAGTACTCACACGCAGGATGTTGGACTCTTGAAGAACTCACACGCAGGATTGGTGGACTCTTGAAGTACTCACACGCAGGATGTTGGACTCTTAAAGTACTCACACGCAGGATGTTGGACTCTTGAAGTACTCACACGCAGGATGTTGGACTCTTGTAGTACTCACACGCAGGATGTTGGACTCTTGAAGTACTCACACGCAGGATGTTGGACTCTTGAAGTACTCACACGCAGGATGTTGGACTCTTGAAGTACTCACACGCAGGATGTTGGACTCTTGAAGTACTCACACGCAGGATGTTGGACTCTTGAAGTACTCACACGCAGTATGTTGGACTCTTGAAGTACTCACAGTCTCACGCTGCGTCTGATATCCTGTGGTTAGGATGTAACCTTGGGAGGTTCCACACCTCTGTAGTCACCTGTATATACACACCTCCAGGTGTGTATATACACACCTCCAGGTGTGAGTCTATCACATTATATACACTGTGAGATTAATCTCATTTCCAGGAATTATTCTTAACTGGTGATGAACAGGTAACTTGCAGTAGATAGGTTTTAAACCCCCATTAACCAACCTACCTTTGTGAGTTCAAGTTTA